TTTTTTCTGATTTTCTTTTAAATTGGGACCGAGAACTTAAAAATGAAAAAACAGCTTTACTATTCGATAACTGTGCAACACATCCTTCTAATATCATTCTGGAAAACATTAAATTAGTGTTTCTTCCTGTAAATATAACTTCTGTCATTCAGCTATTAGACCAAAGTATTATAAAAGCTTTCAAATACAATGACAGAAAAGGGTGTCATTCAAAAAAAGATAAACAAAACTGAAATCTTCCAAAAATGTAAGCACTTTTATGGAGATAATTAAGCAAATATTTCTGCTAGAGGCTATGCATATTATAATAAAAGCCTAGGAAGCAGTCTCCTAAAACACAGAAATTGCTTTAAAAAAATGTGGTTTTTATTTAGAAGCTACAGACGAATTGAAACTACATCTAATATTTTGGACATCAGTAAGGGAAATTACACAGATTCGTTTTTAGAATACATTGCAATGATGATAATATTGAGACAGCATGTGAAAATATTAATTATAATATTATAGAAACTGTTAACAGAGCTGCAGAAACTGAAAACATGCCAACCTCAGGTGAATCGAGAAAAGCACTGTGAAGTCTAAGAACTCTTGAATTGGAAGGTGGAGATCAGTAAAGATACCAACAGTTTTACAAACTTAAAAACACAACTGAAAGACTGTTGATAAACAGTGAGAAATAAATATGAATAAGAGTAGTCCTTTGTAAAAGTTTAAAATTTCATCAGATTTGTAATATTAAAAACTTTTTATGAAAAAATGTAAATAAAAAATAAATTTTAAATTCCATAAATAGCTTAACTTTGGCATTAATTGAAACTACATCTAATATTTTGGACATCAGTAAGGGAAATTACACAGATTCGTTTTTAGAATACATTGCAATGATGATAATATTGAGACAGCATGTGAAAATATTAATTATAATATTATAGAAACTGTTAACAGAGCTGCAGAAACTGAAAACATGCCAACCTCAGGTGAATCGAGAAAAGCACTGTGAAGTCTAAGAACTCTTGAATTGGAAGGTGGAGATCAGTAAAGATACCAACAGTTTTACAAACTTAAAAACACAACTGAAAGACTGTTGATAAACAGTGAGAAATAAATATGAATAAGAGTAGTCCTTTGTAAAAGTTTAAAATTTCATCAGATTTGTAATATTAAAAACTTTTTATGAAAAAATGTAAATAAAAAATAAATTTTAAATTCCATAAATAGCTTAACTTTGGCATTAATTTATAATTAACAATGTAGGTATTAATTACTAGATTGTTATTTACTATCTTGCTAAATAAGTTTAAGTTTGCAGCCATAATTTGCAATAATAAAATCGCCTTTTTATTAAACTAAGCCACTTAGTATCTATATATGCTTGCAACAAAAGTGATTTTAATCAGCAGCAGGTACTGCATGTAAATAATTTTGGTAAAATTGTATGTAAATTGTAGCATCTGTTGTATAATGTAACATGAACAGTCTTAGAATGTGAAGAGTCACTGGGAAAACTGAGTTACAAGAGTAAATCTATTTAATATTGAGAGATAAATGGCTATCTCATCAAAAGTGCCAAGTTGGCAATAATTTTAGGAACTAAATTTTGTCACCAAATTTGGAAAGAAATTACCAAAAGTCACCTAGTATTGGCGACATTTTGGTCCGATTTCTGTGCAACTATAACTGGTCCGATCCCTACGTAACTGCAACTGTATATGCCTTCAAGCAATTTCGAGAAATGGAAGGTTTTGTTTGGAATGGAAGTTCCTTCAAACTATTTTGAGATTTCTATGCAAGATGCAGTTTGCATTGCATTGTGTTCAATGTTCTTAGCACTCTGAAATGGTAACTCTGTCATGCTGAGAGGAGCTGTACAAGTACTTTTGTGTGAAAAGTTCCAGAACTGTAACTTTTTTTATTGTTATTTACTTATTTATTTTGAAAAATAATTTTTATTTAGCTATCATTGGTTCTGTGTGCTTTCATCCATTACAAACCCAGGTGCATAAAGAAATTTTTGGTGTCAGAATTTGAATTTCATACCACAGCACTGCGAGATTTCGCACTTCTTCCGAGATCATTTCTGCCCACCAGCAGCCGAATGATACAGTCCCTAAACACTGGTATTTCAGTCTGGAGTTTAGGTCCCGGTGAATGGGCTAACTGCATAGACGTTCTCATGGTTTTCCCTATGTATAATGTGCATATGAGCCAGTTTCTCTCAGAAAGTCCTCCATGAAGGCATCCCTCACTTCAAGCAGATAGTCCTTAATTGCTTTACTATGATCAAACAAACCAAACCAATATCATTTCAACTGTTCAAAATATTCTCTAAAGAATCCTAAAACGTTTTCAGAATCACAAGACACTGGCACAGCATGTCAGCCTGAATCTAACCAATGAATGATCTATAATTCTCTTCCATTTTAAAGTTTTGGAAATAGACATAAATCGCAGAGTAACAAATCTGGGTTGTAATGTGGCTAAATCAGTTGCATAATCTCATGTTTTGCCAAAGAGCATAATCTCGTGTGATGAATGGCTGCATTGTTGTCAAGAAGCTGCTCAGAACACAACTGAAGAACATCAATTCCTCAACAACTGTTTGATTTGGAGGAGCATACTCATGACATGTAATGCTTTCCAAAACAAAATACAAAGTCAACATGTTTTTGACTGAAATTTTTTCAGAAACTTCTTTGGATACAGTGAATCCTCGGATTTCCAAGGGGGCAAACCTAGACTTCGTTTTCAGATAACAGACAACAACTTTTCACCTCTGGCTTTCACTATTTTGAGGAAATATTTAGCAGCCTGAAAAATTAATTAGCAACTGCTGCACGATGTAACAGTAGTCATGAAATGAATTTTTCAAAATGTGTTTTATGTCAAGAACTTTTGTCAAAATTTCACCCACTTTAGATTTTGGAATCTCAGTTCATCTTCTAGTTATTGGACTGCCAATCAGCAATTTTTGTTGATTGCAGCCCGTATGTATTTGATATTTTTCTAGAATTTTGCTCATTACTAGAATTTGAAAATGCAGATAACTTTCAACATACCCACAGTTACCTCTGGATTGTCTGTACCATGTATTTATTCATACTGTACTCATTGCAGCATTCCTGAAAGGCTTCTGAATCATCTACACAGTTTATACAGATGAGAATTCCAGTTTTACAAACAATTTGAATACATTTGATATATATTCAAAATATATTTAGTAGATAGGTATCATCTTATACAGAGAAAAATATTCTTAACCTAAATAGCTAACTTGGATTCAGCTTACCTATTTTTAATGGCAAATTACCAGTTAATGTGATTCAAAAGTGAACAGCAATAAAGAGGAAGTTTGCTTTTTAAAATAAAATAACTCTGTCATTCCAACAGTTGTTTCCTTGTCGCATCATTGATAAAACAAAACAAACAAAAACAAAAAATCTCATGTTGGTGAAATTTGTGCCCTCCTAATGGAAAAGTACCAAAATGAACACCAGAATCAATAACGGAATACCTTAAATAATTAGCACATAAAAATTACAATGGGAAAAGAAAATTACTTTGATCTTTTAACTTACTTTTTGGGTGTTTTGAAAGCAACTTTTATGCAAAAAGAAAAGAGGAAAAAAATAAATTATATAGATGCTTCGAAGTACATGTCAGAAGCTGAGTTTCTAAATAGTTTGTAAAATTCTCTTTTGCCCATATCTGAATGCATATCATCATCATTTTCAACATTTTTCATATTAGAATTAATGTCCTCTTCAAACACAAAATTGCCCTTGCTGCCATTCATACAATTACTGATGCAGCTGGAATTATTAAATTCTTGAACTATTACTTCAGATAAAATTTTCAATTGCACGTCTTTCATTCAGTGCACAACATTTTTCAAAATGTCTGTTTTCCATTATGGTTTTGTCTCTTATCCCCATCCACTTAATGGATCTAAGAATATCCTTCAATGGCTTATTTAAGCAAAAATCTAGTGGCTGGAGCATAGATGTCAGTCCTCCTGCTATTACCTGGCTAACTCATAAAATGATCCTACGGAGGCAATGAAATCCACTGACTGGCTCGCTTTGAACAAATTTAGGTAGTTTCATCATGTTCAACAACCTGATTTGAATAGCTGTATGGGTTACAATAAAACTACTTATCATGATTCTTGAATCCATGCAGTGAGGTTTGTCCTCAAGAGCATGAAACATAGTTTGAAGACTATGTATTACTTTTTTGGGGGGGAGGGGCATCTCTGTTAATTCAAGACAGTTTTTCTTCCACTTTTAAATTTGTTTTTCATTCATGTACAAATGCCCAGAAGGCATACTGTCGTTAAAATTTTCAGCAAATGTGATTACCTGTAGTTTAAAATTTGCCATATAAGAATTTCTCTTCCCACTAATCTTTCAGATAAAAAATATAATGGCAAAGGAAATAAGACTAGCATAGATACCACAGATACCATACAAAATAATAATAATAATAATAATGAATAGAAAAACTGTGTAAGTTTCAGACAGAATTACCAGAGTTAAAACTGTCATCCTTGGCATCTGGTATTTTACTTAACAGCAATTTAACTGAAAAATATTCCACTGTTTTACTTGCTTGGCAATATTTTTGCCCTCATGGCAACATGTTTGAGCATTACAATATTGCCCCCCAGCATTACATCTTGTATATGGGTTTTGAATTTTGAGTAAATTCTTCAAGATAAAATGTCCTCTCGGCTTATACATGGATTGGCTTACATTTAAAAATATGTGGTAAATATATGCTAAAGGTAGAATTATTTTTTATCCAATAATTCAGATTTTAATAGCAATAGACATACAGTATACCAATTTAGGAATTCAATTGTTTCTGGTTTTTAAGAAGAAATATACGAAGGACAGGAAATTTGCAGTTAAAGAAATTCATTATACAAATACATCATTTGAGCAAAAAATATCAAGTGCAATTTTTTTGAATATATTGGAATATTTCCAAAAACTTACTATTAGTTTTCATTTGGTACTGGGAAACTGAAGAAGGATCAGCAGGAGAATTCTGAACACTTTTTGAAAGCAATCTTGAACTTCCAATATTTTTAGTTAAACTAAAAAAAGAAATTAACAAAATAAAATACTATAGCAAATCTACAAAGAATTATAATAACAGATGAGTTGGAATAAAACTATAATGAACTATTTTTTTTTTTTTTTTACTATTAAATGAAATGCATTGACATGTTAAATACAGAATAAAGGAATCATTTAATACAGTGGTTTTCAACTTTTTTGGACCCATGTACCCCTTTTACCACTGCTAGAAGATCATCTCCCTCCTTATTAAAACTTGAATTATTTAGACTATTTACTTACATGTTTCAAAAATTAAAGAGTAAAAGTATAGAAAATGTTGGTAAATACCAAAATTTGACTAAAATAAACCTTTTATATTCATTAACTAAAACTAAATGTCTAACAGCTAGATAAAAGGCTAACTGCATTTCCCGCTTGAAACTATGAAATTCCCCCCCCCCTCGTTGGGAATTCCCGATTTAATAGAAAAAAGTTATTTTTTGAAATACCATGGCCAAGATATTTCTTTTTCAGATTTCCCAATTAACACCATGAATTCAAAATATTATTTGATTTTGAAATTTCTAAGAATTATTTTAAAAGAAATTTTCCCAGGTATTCTTAATACATCAAAAAAATTTCTTCTTGAAACAATTCACAGCACAATATCTCACAATTTAAATTTTTGTCAGCAATTATTTTCATAAACTTTTTTTATGATAAATAATAAAATTTTCCATAGGTGCTTTCATGTAAATTTTGTCTACCATTTAATAATCTTAAAGGAGATACTACACAACTACCAGATCACCACAGGAAACAACAATCTTTTTATTTCTACTACAGTAATTGAAATTAACTACAAAAGAAATGTATGGGGACTTCTAATTAAAAACAATATTGAACTCTCAGATTTATCCACATGCGCAAATTTATTAATAAATGAACAAGTCAATAATATTTAATAAACAAAAGAGCATCAGTGAACTGTTTTAAACGAAAGTTATTTTTTAGAAAACAAATTATTACTTCTTGTAATTTGAAACAGAATTAAGAAAATCTTGTCGAAATTGCATTATTTTCTTTTTATTTAGGAAAATAAAAATTTCAACCATAAAATCATAAATCACCACATATTCTTGTTTTCACAGAATAAAATCAGTGTTTACGGTTCATTTGCCGAAAACTTGCGAACTGACTGTTGACTTTAAATTGCATTCATGAACCCATTGTTGACTAATCTTTTGCTAAACTAATGCGGAAAAAGTAACAGCCATTTTCAAAATGTGGCACACTAATACCATGCAACAGCAATTGATCATTAAACTAAAAAAGCAAGAAATATTAACAAACATTCATTTTTTAACAAACACACACTTGTAATAAAATATAGCCTATTTCAAGAAATCCTTCTCTCTCTTTCTTTCCCCTCCCCATACAAAAGTACCAGATTTCACTTAAAAATAACCAGAAAACTGCTCAAACTTGGCATCGTATAACTTAGGCATTCCACACTGGCCATAACAGATATGCGCTATGTGCATACCAGGGTTGCTGCATAAATATTTTTTGGCAACATTATACGGTATTTCTCCCACCTTCTTAGCATTCCTTCGTGGTGTAGTGCTCAGCGTGTATTCGAGAGGTCCGTGGTTCGAGTCCTGGCAAGGGAATTGCTCTTTTTTTAAGTCTCCTTTCAATGACCATAAATAAATAAATAAATAGAATTTAAAAAAAAAAAAAAACCTGAAAGGTTTCAGATTTACGTCCAAGGGGGCATTCTTTTAACATTTTGTGTGTTACCTTTATTTATTAAATATCATTGTTCCTTGCACTTAAACCATAAAATTCAGTTCAGTAGCAATAGCAATGTCGCAAAATGATTTTAAAGTGAGCATATCTTTAAAATTTCCGATACACAGTTCTGCGCCCGCTGGAGATAGAAGGTTCCCCCTTCCGCCCCCCGTATAGTGTTGCCATTCCTCGCTTTTAAACCGTTGAGTTTGTTACTCAAAAATTTGTTAAAGTTTTACAAAATATGAAACCGATAATAAAACAAATTCTAAATTTCAAATTTGGTCTCCACATGCCCATATTCATAGGAGGATTACATTATTCAAAATTCGATGGCACTATGTACCATTGTTTTCTCACAATGTGAGAAATATATATATACATTTATGCAAATTTTTCATTATTTAATTTCTTCAACAAATATAATGCAGGATGCAGGAGACTAACATTTGGTGGCAACAGTTTGAAAAGTTAAAAGGACATTTATAGTGATTCAAGGCAAAATCGCAAAACGAAAACAATAGTCCTTCAGGGACAAAGCCCCTTTGGACTAAAAAACCACTAATGTCTCTACAATGGTGCCCGAACTTAAAAAAAGGTGGTGGATGATGATTCTCCACCACCAGGATTTGGCGATTGGGTTCACTAAATCCCAGTTGCCCCTTAAAAGGGGGGTATATAAGATATATCTCCCACCTTCTTAGTATGCCTTTGTGGCGTAGTGGTCAGTACACTTTGCGCATATTCGAGAGGTCCATGGAGCATTTTCTTAGTGCCATTTTATAATTCTATTGTATGCTTCTGTTTCTAATTATTCATGTTGACATATTTTGAAGTTTATAATAATCTGATCAAGCTAGGGCCTCCAAACCTCAGCATTCAAATGTTTCAAGACTATGTATTCCAATATAAGCAATTAATGCACTGTAAAATATATAGCTATACAGTATGCAAAATGTACTTTGTTAAGCACAAAAAATCTTGAGTACTGTATGTTATTATGAATTTGATATGTTATTAATGTTAAAAAAATTATTTTAAACTGCATATTATCTAAATGCTATATATTTAAGGATTTAATAAATACTAATTTATTAATTACATTTATGTGTTTATGAAAAATCTAAATGTTGGATAATGTTATATCATTGCATTTTTGGGTATAAACATTCTTTTAAATACATGAAATATAGCAACTTACCTTGTAAGCGACGGATTCAAAAATGCTTGACTGTTATTTTGAAGAAATTGTTTTAAAGATAAAAGATACTGCAGAAATACAGACAATTCCTCCGAAGTAACATTACTAACCAGCTGTTCAAGGGAAAAAAAATATCTGCTTTAAAAAATAATTTGAAATGTATTTATACAAATAAAATAAAGTAGCTACATCATTCTTAAATAGAGGGAAAAAAAAAGGACAATCATTTAAAATTTAAAATATAAAAAAGACCAAACAAAAAATTGCCAGATTAATCCCCCATTAATGCCTTAGAAAGATTCATTTATATGTTGTACAAAGTATGAGATCTGGAATCATTGGAATTTTGCCGATTCTGGGTTTGCGAATTTTCTGGATATTACTTCAACAGTTTAAATCTGCTAAGCTGATATGTACGAAATATAAAACTGAAAATATGAACTATTAGTTTAGAAATAATGAAGCATTTATGACGTTTATGGAATCAAAATTTCAAAAGAAAAAGGTTCAGCATTTATTTGTTTGCTTTATTAAATTTTTCTTTCAATATAAGTTGCTGAAATAGCTTCATTTTTGCCCTATTTCTCTTTTATTCTATAGATAGACATAATTTCTAGTTCAGTTACAAAGTTCCACTGTTCAAGTCCTGTAATTGCCTTATTAGGAATACCTACTAAATTGTCAATTGAAAATTTTCATTCTTAACAATTTCTCTGTCACTTTCTTCTTCACTACTGGTAGCAATATTTTCTCGATTTAAAACCATACTACAGATTTTGCCATCCATACATTTATTGATGATTGAGGCACTGTCATCCCAATGGAAAACTTCTGTTATATCACTTATTTATTAACAATTCTCCACATTTCTTTACAAATTTCATTAACTGGAAAATTCTGCTTTTTGTTTGCAATATCCGAAACCTTCAAAATTCACGTCTATCATCATAAAGCTAATTAGCATTCATTATACACTATTGGTGATGTATCTTATTTGGCTGGCGAGTAGAGATAAGTGGTTCACTAAATTTTCTCTTACTTCTATTGTGCCCTGAGGAAGTTGAGCCAGAATTACATTAGTTTAGTTATTTATAAAACATACATCTATTTTTTACATATGTTTAAGGCTTATCTGCATTTTGAATAAAAAAATTCCCATATATACTTAAGGCTTATCTGAACAACAAATCAGTTAGCTGAAATCTGTAAATCACTGCCAAGTATAATGCCAACACAAAAGGAAATATATTATTTCTTAAATATACTTTCAATACACGTAGCGTATTCGGAAACTAAGTACAGTTTCATTCTAGCGCCATCGCAGCGTCTGCGCGATCGGTAGGCGTCTGCGCATGCGCACTAGTCTTTCTTGTTCACTGACTTGTCGCCATTTTGGTTGCTCTATGTTGTGTTTTCAGTTTGCTGTGCACATTCAAAATGTTTAAGACAATTAGTTCTCCCGCTGACTGTGAGATTCGTGCCATGATTAAATTTTTGAATGCGAAGAATGTTAAACTGGCCGAAATTCATCGTCAAGTGACAGAAGTTTACGGTGAATACGCAATAAGTGATGGAATGGTGAGAAAGTGGGTAAGAATGTTTTATACAGGTCGAACAAATGTCCACGCCGAGGCTCGGAGCTGTCGGCCTTCTGTTGTCACTGATGATTTGGTAAGGAAAGTTTTTTAATGACGTAATTATTTCTGAAAACGAGAATGGATGATTGTACGAAACAATCATGCATGAGTAGCTACAAAACGTTTGGCAGTGTCGTAGGGATCTTTTTTCCAACCAAAAGGATTATTGATAATGGATTCCATGCATGCTCATTTACTTGAGTCAGTGAAAACAAGATGTTAAAAACTGTCTACAACCGTAGCAATATTTCCTGGCGATTTGAAAAAAATCTTACAACCATTAGATTTGTCAGGTAATAAATCTTTCAAAGCTGAAGTCCGAAAGCAGTGGGAGTGTTGGATGAGTGAAGGGTTGCATACGCATACTTGCCAACCTATGACACTCAAAAATCAGATTTTTTTAAGAAATCAGATTTTTCACAATGTTAAAAAGACTTTTTAAGCGATAAAAATATGGTTTTTAATAATGAAGTAACTTTAAATAGTAACTAATTCTTAAATGCAAGCAACACAAAAATACCTTATGCATAAAAAAACATTTTTATTACTTGCATCGTTTAAGGGGGGAAAAAGGGGGGAGGGAATTTTAGTTTAGAAAAGAAACTTCCTAATTTTGTTCACTGCAATTGCCACGTAGACCTGCTTTCGCTAAGAAAAGTTTTCTGATGTGTCATCACTAATATTAGATCTAAATTTAGTCCTCGTTTACGCAACAACACTGAAAATCCTCTCACACTCTGCACCACTATGGGGAACTGTCAAGACGGCCAACACAATTCTAGACAGTTTACTATATTTTAAAATTCCATCAGCACCTTTCAGTTTTCCAATTAAACTCCACTGGGTGTCAATCCTAGCTGATTTTATAACTTCATTCAAGTTTTCTAATTGTAAACTGCTGTTATGCAGCCATTGGAACTGTTTCAATTTTTCCTTCCTTTTAGAACTCCTTTCAAGATAATAATAAATATCAACAATGTGTCCATCCACATTTATTGGTAAAGAAGCTGCCCCTTTTTCAGCTGCTAAATTTAAGAGGTGACAGGTGCACCTCATAATCTGCAAATCTGAATTTTCCTTTCTTAAGATGCTTGCAACACCAGTCTTCAAGCCTACCAATACTGGTGCATTATCGGCACCAAGTGCTAAACAATTATCCAGAGGGCCTGCATTTTCTTTTAAAGTTTAATAATTAACTGTGGTATATTAAAGCCTGTCAAATGTCCTTCTAAAATGGGGACAGAAAGTAAACTGCACTCAATTTCTGAAGAATCTGGATTAAAAAAGAAACAACAATAATGGATACAGTTTTGAATCGGTTATTATTGCTTCCATCCGTAGAGAGGCAGAACGGAGCTGTTTTGTGCAATCAATAACTGAAGATTTATTTTTCAAACCCATTTCTTTAACAATTGCACCTGTTTTTGTTCTTGCACTTGAGTATTTCTTAGCAATTTCACTATTGGGAAACATTTTTCTAAATAAAGCTGCAGCATGATCCGATGCATTCAGTGACAGGTTGTGCTCCAGTAAAAAGGCAGAGAACAGGACATTCTGGCATTAATAACTTTTTGGTCCTTTGTTTTCCGTTTTTTAAAAATTAAATTTTTCATTTTTTTTTTTTTTTCAACAGAACTCATGTTATCCTTGTGTTTTTGTGTTCGCACATGTTTGAGAACATCCGCCCTTCCACATTGCGAATTCGAAAAATCGCAACGACAGGCGGTGCACATCGCAAATTTATTACATTTCCTTGAGGAAATAATGGAAGGAAAGTCAACTGTACGATTTTTGAAACGTACACGAGTATTTAATTCTCGCAGACATAACAAAAGATGATAATTTCTAAAACTATTTCCCGAAGGCACGTGCACTCACACAACTCAGCACAAACTGAACAAAATAACTAAAGAACATCCAAATAACAGCTTGGACATGTAAAGAAGGAAAGGCTCCATAGACGTAATGTAAACCAGTTTGTCTTCTACGCCGCTACAAAGAAAAGGGACTATTCGCCAAGGGATTTGGCGACGGAACCTGTTGGCGAGAATTTTGCCCTTTGTGATGTACCTGGCCGAGATTTTCCACCTCCGCTACGTGTACAGGAAAATTGAGGAATAAGGGTTAAGATGAATCGTTCTTTGATTTTTCGCGATAATTTAAACTCGAATTTTCACGCTTTTTTGCTTTACTAGTTGAACTTGTATTATCCATATCGCAGTTTGTGGTCTGATTTTATATCTGTCAATATGTTGGAAAAAAAATGGAGTCACACAGAAACTCTTGATAAACGTGACCGTCGAACCTGTTGAACTTCGACATCAGCTTCGAGCTTTGGCGCTTTTTGGCGACAGATATTTCACGCATGCTCAGTTGTGTCCCTTTTCGTTCGGAGGGAGCCACTCCTGAAATAACTGAGAGAAGCTTTCCTCTCTTAACAATACAGCCATTCTTTGCCTTGTCCTCATTGGCTAATATATGCCAGATGACACGCTGTGGAGCTCGATGCCCATTGGAGAACTGGAGAACGACGTTTCTGGATACGTATAATGCTCTCACTCACAAAGCAGAAAGTTATCTCATTTGATTTGCAAGGTTTTGTTTTAGATATAATCTAGAGAAAATTCAATTGCTTTCAGAGGTCCAAAATCACTTTTTTTTGGGGGGGGGGACGGTTGTTCATATAACAGAAGTATTAAGCCAAGTTCCATAAAAATCGTGAGAAATTTTAAAAATAAGAAAAAATCGGGAGAAATATATTGTAAATCGGGTTGGCGATTGATCGGTCGAAAATCGGGAGTATCCCGCCTAAATCGGGAGAGTTGGCAACTCTGCATACGTATACCAAAAGCGGCAAAATGCGTAGAGCATCTTATGAAGAAGTTGCAAAGTGGGTACAAAATGCGTGGAAATCAGTGAAAACATCGTCAGTAAAAGCAGCGTTCAAAGAAGCTGAAATTATATCCTCAGATAAAGAGACTGTAAACCAAGAGAATGAATGTGACAATCTGGAAGACTTAGATCAGGATTTACTAAATGTTTTTAATTCAGATAGTGAAGAATCAGATTTTGATGGCTTCAATTGATGTACAGTTTGTTGTAATTCCTTTGTAAATAAAATTTAGTTTTCTTTTTGTCATCCAAAATTAATATTTCGTTGTTGCAACATTTTTTATAATGCAGTACAAGTATTACAAATATGGACTTCTTTAGTGGGTAAATATAAGTATATTCGTGAACGTAAATATATTTTCAACATTTCTTACCTTTAATTTATTTTTGAGTTATAATTTCATGCCATGCATTTTTCTTAACCAATATGTCATATATCAGGACATAAGTCAAGATTTTGCGTCTATACAGTCCATGACGATTTAATCTATTGCGGCATTTCCGTGTAACTTAAATTTTTTTCTCACCATTTTTCTCGAGTGCGCCATATATGCTGATGTGGCCTTTCTTCCAGAAATTACAGTACTTCTTTACGGTACTTCTTTTTTTAGTAATTTTCACAAAGAAATAATAAATGTTAAATAAATCAATATTTTAATATTTAGTCAATTCATTATTTTATATATACATACATGTATATATTATAAAATGTTTTTTATATATACATACATGTATATATTATAAAATGTTTTTTATATATCATCTTCAAGAAGCATAAATTTAATTAATGCGATGAATTATTGGAATAAACTTGAGTCAGTGTTTTAAGTATAAGTTATTTAGATGAAAATTAAAAAGCTGTATAGAAATATTATTTTAAATTGGAAAATTTCTAAATAGTAAAATTAAAAAGTAAAATTTAAAGCACTGAAAAGGAACCTACTGTTATTGACTGTAGATTAATAATTGTCTTGTTGAGGGAAACAAACCAATCCACTATCAATTAACAATAACCAAATTAAGTGAGAGTGTTTCGTCTTTTTTTTAGTAAGGTTCAAATTAGTTATTTTCCTGGAGTTAAAGCATAAGTTACTAACAAAACTGAAACATCAGAAAAATAATTACTCTGCTTAAGTCGAAAAACGTGTCATAAACAAATCCTAAAATAAAAATGAGAAAGATTTTCTTAATTTAAGGTACTCATTAAAAACTGAATTAACAAAGATCCTCCTCACTTTAAAAAAAACATTCCCTGATGCTCTCATAGTATTGTAAAAACAATAAAAAAACTATTAAGAACTGTAAAACTTAATATAAAATAATTGAAATATATACAAAAGAAGAAGAAATTTGAAAACAATATAGTCACTTAGATCTAAATGCAAAATCAAAAGTTAGGTCCTTAAATACAAATTTATACATTCTATTAGATTTATACGAAAAAATCAAAAGGTAAAGTATTTTATATTCTTTTAGATTTATACACAAAATCAAAGGTAGGTATTTAAATACAAATTTAGGCACAAATCAGAGCCAGAAAGGAAATTAAAATTAATTTACTTGTTTGCAAAATTTGAAACAAAATGGCTTAAAATGTACTCTAATAGAATGTAATAGGGTTGTCATATTTAGGACAGAAGGTAGTGGTTGGTGATGTGTTGTACTCTATTTAAGATATATATGTTTGCTATAAACCTGCTGGCAGAAACTTACTGTTTAATTACAACTGTCATCAGAGACTATTTTCTTAATATTTTTTTTTATTAAAAATTTTATAATTTTTTATCATAAAATTTTATTTATTTATTATATATATATGTGTGTAAGATAAAAAAAATGTATGAATCAAAATTATAATTTAAGCTAATAGAAACTCTTTAATTCTCTCTCTCGGTTCTAAAAATCATAATAACTTCTCTCAACTGCGTCATTTCTAGATATTTCTATTTTGCGTGGCCTGCGCAATGCACACTGATCTCAAACCAAAGCCTTTCTCTTCATGTGCTTCCATCTTCCATAACTACGTACTTCAGCTTCTCTCTCTGCTCTGCTTGGACGTAATTTCACTATGCTGCTTCCTATTGCAATAATATTAAAAATGTAAATGTTCTTGAATAGGCATAGTTAGAGTGCCAAGTGAACTGTGGCCACAAATATCAATTGCAAATAAAAATGGAATTAAAACTGCCTCGACTGCCAAGTTTTTTAGACAGTACAAACTCGACATATTAGCATGCTACGCAATCAGATTTCTTCCTCTTCAATATGTATCTATGATCTATCGTATATAGCTATTACACATTAACAGTGTTCCGGCTTTTCCTTGCTTTTAATATATCATATAGAGAAAATTAATTATTATATATATATACACACACACACACACCTTGCAATGAAAAGCTTTGTTGATCAGATTATAAGAAACAATAGTAGATATTTAGCTGAACCATGTATATTTTAATTTTAAAAAATAATCCATTTCTATAGCAAAGTATACTTTTCTCAGCATCTGTGTGGTGTATTTAAACCCTAGGTGAAATTAATTATTTCTGCAAAGCATTCAATCTCTAGGGAAAAGTATTCATACCATTGATATCAAATGTAACTTGCATGCCACAATAAATCTTTCAAATTTCTCTTGAAGTTAAGTCTGGCTAATACATTGGCGGACAGAAAGAATTAGATAATTAATGACTTGAAAATAAAAACTTGATTTGAAAACTAAATAATAATTCAGTAAATAGCTGCAAAAAACATTAAAGTATTTATTTTTTAAGCAACATTTTGAAGATAGCATCACTCAGGTGAGCTCCATTGGAGGTAAGGCATTGTATGACATTACCTATGACTTTCCTCAGAAAGATCACTAGATCTGGATGAATTTGTAACAAATTATGCATTTTTTATTACTTCTATGTAAAATGAAACAAAACATTGAACCCGCATGCAACAAAAACAGCTTCTTATTCATTCCAATTTTGATACTAAAGAATTGTTATATTGATGTTTGTTTTACATATAGAGGAAGAATAAGGAATTCAAGAATTTAAGATGAAAACAACAGTGATGACACATTACAGTAAATTTAACCTAATAATATCTTTAGCAATATCACTGTTGAAAGTATTCAAAACTCTAAAAAATTTAGCAAGTCAATTGCCAGCAGTTGAATTCAATTTAAAATATATACAATATAAATGCATATTTCAAAACTTTTTTATATATTGTCATTACTTTTACAAAGTCAAATTTACTCACAAAGTTAATTTTAATGTCTTCAAACATGCCAGAGGTCTCAGAAACAACCTTTTTGTTCCATAAAGGCCTGCAAATCACATAATTTATATATTTTATATTAAAATACATTAAAGAATCAGAAGTTCAGCTTGATATTTTAAAAAGCAAATAAAAATTTTAAAGAATGAGGGTATTATAATAAGTTATAAATTAAATAAATATAAATAGTATAATACACTTTAATACAACTGGACATTACCTAATTATTCTGGAGAAATACAAATACAGGCCATTGTGCTTTCCAGAATAAATTATGTCAGATGTAGAAGTTGTAACGCCAGTAGCAGACAGCTGTTGAGACAATATATTGCTGGTAGGTGTTTGAGGCTGTGGAATAGCACTCACTGCTGGTTTGACAGGACTATAAATACCTATTATATTATTTAAAAATTAATTTGACATTTAAAAATTATTTCGAGAGTATAATAATATATTACAAAAACTATATCTTTTGAGAATTTAAAAGAAATGAGGAATCTTTCACAGTATGAATGTTTTACACATACAGATACACTTATCCAAAAAGCCATTTTAAGCATTTTTAACACATGACAGCAGATCAATAAATATATTAATTTTAAAATAGAGCACTTTGATCTTACTTACCAAAATATTAACAAGCTAAAATAAATGATTTTTAATCTAATTTTTTTTTTTTTTTTTTTTTTTTAAGCATTAAGGTAGATATTTGATTTTATTCAAAATATAAAAACTCTAGTTATACATCATGAAAGTGTGTAAAACTCAGAGCAACAATATCACATCATTTACTGATTGCCTTAATTATGCCAAGTATTTAATTAACTCAAGAGGAATTTAGTGTAAATGCACAAGTTCTTAATATGAAATATATTCAGAAACATAAAATATAAACAGTACTTCTTACATTCAGGAACAAAAATAGCATACAGTATAACCTCAGTATACCACCATTTAATGGGAAGGAGAGAAAAATGATAAATGCAGAAAAATATTTAAGCACTGAAACTGTAACACTATAAATACATTTATTATCTTAAATATGAGTACACTATATTAAAAATTAATTTTTAACAAAAAAGTTGTACACTGCCCTTAACTTAGTAACTGAATTTTTCCTCAACTGAAAATAGATTTTTAACATTTATAACGTTTTTATGATTTACATCATTTCCACTTCTTTGAAATGCTTTAAATTTATGTAAAGCTTCATAAATCCTGATAAAGTTTTGCATCATTTCTTGTTTATTTTTATCCTTTTAATGTTTCTTCCGAACTCCTTGTATGGTCCAAAGTGAAAACTAACCCTAAAACTTCTTAAAATGAACAGAAGTAAACTAATGAAAATTAAAAGAAATAAATTTACTGCAACTTGCAATGAAATAAACATTCAGAAATGACACTAATCATGCAGATGTAGAACTGAATGCTATAAGCAAAATGTTACTGCACTGCTGTATAGTTATATTTACAGTGCCGAATGAAGGTAACACAATTAACTAATAATATGTTTCACTTCAAACAATCTAGTGCAGTAAATGTTGCTAAGAGAACATAATAGTTAAAGCATCAATATTATAATTAAATGTATAAACTATGTGGCAGTAAATAATTTTATTTACATAGAGCCTTGTTCAGGACCAAGAACAGCAAACGATAAAAGTAGGAAAACAATGACTAGAGAAATAGCAGGAGGAGGTTTTACAATAAAAGCATGAGTAATCCATTTTTAGTTACTTAACATATTTGCTGCCATATACGAGAATACTTGTAGTTGCCAAACTTAGTTTACTCGCCGGTTACATGTCAATTTGTTATTGATCACCTCACCTAAATCACAGAGAATGAGTACTGCCATAACAAATTTATGCTATGTTTAGGTCTTTGACATACAGGAATGGAATAAATAATACACTTGGCAAACTGAAATCATTTATTTTTCAGAACAAGGTGGCTATAGTTAAAGTTACCCTATTTAGACCTACAAAAAGCTCATTCTGGTAAATTTATTTCACTGAACCTTGGTATATATATATTATATCGCTCATGGGGAAAATAAGTCTCTAATAAAAGTTAACAGTTCTAATTTCAACCAACAGATGCCACTTTTCATGCAATTATACAAATTTGGAGCATTTTAAAAAGCCAGTAGTCAATGTTGTAACAGCGTTCGTAGCCACATTTTAGTTAAAAAAACAAGCACCTACAAGCACTTTTCAAGAACATTTTAAGAAAAAAATTAAGCACCTGTCTAATTACATTATACACAACTGCATAACCTTAAAAGAAAAATTAGACTTGTAATTTAAAATATGAGAAATGCAGTATTTATTAAGAGAGAATGAGCATTACCTCAGCCACGGAAAACAATATTTTTTTTTTTTTTTTTAAATTTTAAATAAAAGTTCAATTTACAGAACTAGTTTACAATGAGGGGAAAAAAAATTCCAGAACTAAACTATATTACAAGATTTAATGATGACACTTTAGTTCAAAATAGAGAAAATAAATAATAAGCCATATTTATTATAATCACTTGGCAGGTAATAATAAATACAATTTATTTTCCCACTCATATTAATATTTAAATAATTTAACTTAAGTCAAAATTCTGAACATTTTTTATAAATTATTATTAAATTATACGCATTTTTTTTTGCATTTTATTTAAACTTATTAGATTGAATTAAACCTACTTCGCCGACAGCACACAAACCACAATAGAATAAATGCATTCTCTAAAATTCACTTGGTTTACCATAGCGACACTCTGGCGCTAGGTTTACTTAACAGTATTATATTTCGTACATATTATAACTCAGAATGCACAAAATATATATCATTTAAAGAATTATCTAATCGTTGCCACATGTTCTATTCAAATACTATGTACAAAAGAAATTAAGAACTATGTACAAAAGAAATTAAGCAAACAAAACAAAAAAGAAACAGTTTTTCACAGACGATTGAGTATTTCTCATTTAATTAATTCAGTTCTCACTTCGCGAGAAGGCAAAAATACATAAAAACTCAAAATATCTATTTTAAAAATTACGAAGTAAATTTCAAACACTTATTTCCTCGAAAAAATTCCAGAAAGAATTAAGCATGATTTAATTGGCAATAATAAATGAATGCGTTATCTTTGTTGTTGCGAAGCTAATTTTTTCTAGATTGGCAACAAATCCTGTTTCAAATGTAAACATCAAATTAAGAACTTTAAAATTGCTGATAATTCTAAAAATATTGCACACAGATTTACTAAAGGCATAAAATCCTTAACCGGAAGATAAAAGCAACATAATTCAACCATTTTTAAAGCAAAAAATGTACAATTTATAAACATATATGAGTAAAGAAACTGAGATCACTGAGCCGGGTAATAGAGTGTATATATATATATAAATATATTTATACACGTTTGGTGCGGCCGATTGCAACCAAAATATGAGGTGCACATCTACATGATAGCAGTCCTATATACAAAATTTCAACGCTCTGAGGCTACTCGTTTTTGAGTTATGTGAGATACGTACGTACGTACGTACATACGTTCGTACAGACGCCACAAAAAATTCTCTTCAGAATTAATTTTAAAGCAGTTTTATAATTTTTTTGGAGGAAAAGAGTACTTTATTCTGTCCTTACGTACAGATATCACGCAAAAACATCGTTAAATTGCATTCAATAGCGGCAAAATGGATATTTTCGTTGAAATATGCTGCCTGAAACTTTTCGTGATTACAATACTTCCTTTTTACTTCGTACAAGGAAGTAAAAAGAGGAAAATTTCTGAAATCAGAAGACGGGAAATTTCTTCATGCAGTCATACTTTAACAGTAAAAGTTTAACTAACCTGCATACTCGAAAACTACCGAAAATTTCGGAGAGTTGAGCTAGAAGAGATTGTAGCCGTTCTTTAGATTTTTCAGCTAAATAGTAAAACTCTTTTAAGTGTTCATAAACAAATCTCACTGAACATCAAAATTAATTATCTCTGCAAAATATTGCAACCATTATTGTGCAGTATGTGGGTCGTAATTCTTTCTTACGTGATATTTCGCAATCAGAACCAACAGCTGTCGGTATTTGGTGAATAAAGATTTAAATAAAGGAAAAGAAAGAGACTTACTAATCTGGGGATTTTTCATTCTAATTTTGAACAGACTGCGTTAAATTTCTGGAATAGAATCATTCTTCGCTTGGGTTGGTAGACCGCAGAACTTTTAATTCTATTCAATCCAGATTGGAGAGCGAGGGAAAAAAAAAAGTTGCTTGTTTTGCAGCGAACTGTAATGGTTTCAATATTCGCGATTTTGCGGAGAAAGGGGAGAACCTCCCAACCTCCATACTGTATAATGTTTTGGAGGAAAAAAAAAATTATTATGACTATTCGATTACTTTCCCTTTAAGCCATTCCGAATATTATTCCTTAGAAAGCTAATCTGTGTTAAAACACACTTACCCATTTTTGGAAGTTAATCTATACTTCAGCAGTTACTGCAACTATATTATTATAAATATTCATACATATGCTCATAATATAAGCATAACGAACATAATAAAGATAAATATGAACTGACCACGCGGAAGAGAATGCAAATTATTAAAATCTTGACAGAAATTCAAATGTGTGTAGTATTTTTGGGTGGGAGAAAAGAATCTAAATGTACCGGAATTTTCTACCGCTTTCGCAATTCTTTGACAATAGAACGACGTGCACTTGTCTGTACTCTCGCCAGTACCAAAGGTTACGTTAATGCAGAAAAAGGGGATAAGCTATTTCCGGGAATATGATTCACCATCTGAAGTTCCATCTAAGAAAGAAATGTTGTTTATTTAGTTTCCGCTTCGGTGCGGAGAAAAATGCACGTTCATTTAAAGAAAAAAATAAATAAATAAATAATTAATAAAAAATAAAAAAATAAAAATAAAAATAAAAAATAAACATAAACATAAAAAATAAATAAATGAATAAGGGCTTTAAAGAAAAAGTAAGCATGTATAAGGGCCTTTATGTTTTAGAAGGAGTTATAAGCACTTATAAGGACCGCTATGAACCCTGTGTAAATTCATTCCTTACCATGTCTTAGAAAAAAAAAAAAGATATCAAGCTTTCCTGATCAAGTTGTTTTATCAGAACAACAGTAATTTTTCAACTGCACTACGAGAAATACAAAGAAATCGCTCTTACCATGATTGAAAGAGTGACCAATTAAAAATATTCTGGAATATCAATGTGTTACATGATTTATCTCTCCCTTCTTCAACAGTGTGAAAGTTTCTACAATCCATTGTGAAATGGTAGCCATACAAGATCCAAGTTTTGAAAAAGCTGCATCTTGCAAAAACCTGCACAAACAGACTAATTTTGTTGCCTTTCTTTTAGCTAGTACAGCTGCTGACAATGTATGGCCTTGGAAAATTTTGTGGTTAAACAAGTCCCTTTTTACCCTGGATGGAGCAGTTAATGCTCAAAACTGTCGAATGTGAGATAATTCAAGTCCTAATATTATGAATGGTCTCTGCATCCTGATTATATTACTGCATGGTGTGATTTTACTGCTGATTTCATTCTTGGTCATTTTTTTTCTTTGAGGAAAACACTCCTCACGGCCCTCAGAGGTGTTCCACCACATGTACCTGTTACTGCTAACTTCTTCGACAGCAGGTCATTTTTACCGTACAAAAATTAGAATGTTTAGAGACTATTGCCTTTATGCAAGATGGTGCACCACTTCACATAGCTGGAAAAATGAAGGCACTGTTTTGTGCCCACTAATGGAGAAACTCTTCGCGTGACTGTTGAATACACTATAGCATGTTTTGAATGTGTGATTGATACAAATGTAAATGCACTTTGAACAAATGCTGTGTTTATATAAAGTTATGTATCTGCAATCAGCATTTTTTATTGTTCATAAGCCCCTTTCTTCCCTGGTGGTTGAAATTTCAGCTCTTATTTTTTATTGCAGTTTCCTTTTCTTGTGGTCCACATAACATACATACCAAGCTTCAACAAAATACGTCTACTGAAATGGGATCTGCATAGGCCTAAATAGGGTAACTTTAATTACAACCACTCTAACTAATTACTTAGAAAGCAAAAACTTTTTTTGGGGGGGGGTTGTTTGTTTATTTGCTTGGGAAATGTTATACACCGACTTCTTAAATTCTGTTCAGTAACTTCATAAGACACTGTCTGTCCAGTGACTTTTCATAAGACACATAAAGGCTTGTTTACACTAATGCAATGTTTCTGCCAAGAAGCACTAACTTGACTACTCTGCATAATATAAAAACCAGAGACAACTTTTAAAAGGAAATTTGAGCCAGTTGATCTAAGCTTGAGAATTATACTTTTTGATCATCTCTTAGGCTTATGCCAAATGGCTCAGATTCTCTTTCAAAACTGGTAACTTCGTTTAAGTTAGTTTGCAGTGGCAAGTATACATTTCTTGAGAGCAAAGTTCCACTAGTGCATATGGCCTTAATGGAAAATAACATAACATACATTCAGAAATTTTGTCTGAATGCTCAGACTGGATAAGTACTGTTTATCTAATTTCAGGTTATCTAGTAATTGGCAGGGAGCAAAAATATTATTTCAACTATGTCAACTATGTGTATACACATGTGAATTTACTTGCTAAAAATAATCTGTTATGTCTATGTTCAAATACTAAAACAATAGAAAATAATTTTAAAACATAAAAATTTTTGATAGGACCTTGGAGCATGTGAACAAACGCACCAGATAAGCTATGGCAGAGAATATGCTAAAAGAAATATTTAAGGCACTTTTGTTTTAGAATTTTCTAAATTCATGCTTTTAAAATATTCTTCCCATGTAAATCAAAAGAGCTCTTATGCTTACAGAAATATAATTTATGGAGAATGAAGTTTCTTTTACATCACTGTTTTAAAAATAAGATTTATGAAAAAATGCATAAGCATATATATTAATAAATGTGTATGACAAATAAAATAATTGCTATAGATTTGACTTCAGTTACTTATTTAATACAGTGAATGTTCATTATAAGGACCGCTCATTATATCAAGCATCACAAACAAACAAACAAAAAGGAAAATTGAATCACTAAAGAACTAATCACAGCAGCACCAAATACATATTCTATTAAATTCACCATCAGTATAAAAGTATACAATCTTTTATATCTAATGAAATACGACACATATAAAATTTTATACAATACAAAAATCTTACTTGAAAATTGAGGCTGGACTAAAGTTCCTGGTAAGCGCTGCTGATTTTGTGGTGTGCTAGCCCACACTATAAGAGAAGCAAGTTATAAACTATAACTGTCATCGTACATATTACTATTATTAAAGCCTGTTACTGTTATCATACATCCAAAATGATATTAACATGATTCAAAATCCAAAGTGATTAGGAATGTCTTTAGGAAAAGTGTTTCAAAATGTTTTGCACTTCACATGATATTAGGTAACATCAAGTGACAACATATAACGCTGCTTAGTAAGTTGCCCTTCAACAGGATATAAAAATCACTAATTTATTCTTCAGATTACAATTACTAAGAAACATCATGATTTAAAAGTAATAAATGCACTTCTTAATAATGTAAATAATTATTTTATTTTTAATAAAGTATCTAATTAATGTACTTTAAAATATGTTTTAATTTAATTTATAACATATTCATTTGAAGAGAACTCCAGACTGACTTAAATTTACTTTATACAGCATGAATTGGATAACTGAGCTATCTACATTAAAATAATGATGTAAAGTACATTAATAATTAATTAGATATTCAAAATTTTATGTTTTTTTTTGGGGGGGGGGGTTAATTTTAAAGTTTCTTGTACTTCTGTACTGAGAAAACCTTGAGCAGGGAAGGAAAGATCTTATTTATTAAATTACTTTTAAATAGGATAAAAATAAAATTAATAATCAATGTACATACTTTTGTGTGTATAAACTTAGTAATGTGGGATGAAATTTGCACAATTTAGGTTTCCTTAATTCAATAAATTTCATTTATTCCAGAGAAACATTTTTCTTATTAAAGGTTCAAAATTTAAAACCGAGAGATTCAGTGATCTGTTGGGAGACTGGAAAGATATATGATGAAAAAACCAGAACTCCCCCATTTTAGCACCTATGCGTATCTCAATACAGAATACTGTGTTTTTCATTTTAATCAATTACACATTTTATGTTTCATCCGTAAAATATGCATAGTACTGCTGAGTGAAAAGTTTCCAGGCCTTATACAATATAATGCTTTTGAAAAAATGAATAATATTTCTATATACAGTATACAATAACAGAGTATTAACAAAAGATCACTTAATTTTTAACAGACTAATAGTTAAAATCTGTTTGCTCGATTATATCAAGGAAAGATCTCATTTATGACTATGAAACTATTGTCAATTTCAATCATATTTTTTGTTTATTTTCCGATTACATGTGAAATAAAATACTTATTTCATAAGTGCTGCTAAGTTCTATTTTTATTATACCTTATAGAAATGCAGTATAAAAAATAATAAATTAGATATCCAAAATGACTTTCCTAGTAGGAACATTTTTAAGTTCCAAAGTACTGTCATAATTCCTTACAAGAAATAACATCTGATTTGCAAATGATTTATGAACTCATAACATTTTTAATTATTAAACAAACTAACTTATTTATTAAATTCATCAAGTCATTTATTTTGGACAATTTTTAAAGAAAAAAAATCCTACAGGGAAAAAAAAAATGACCCCTTGGGCACTAGTTTTCTATGGTATTTTGGTACTATTTAATTTGGAGACCTTTTAATAAAGAAATGCCGATACTAAGCATTTGTCTTTCCAACATTTAGAAAAGTTAAAACTTATACCAGTCTCTAAAAGTACTCTGTCTAGAAAAATTTTAAAAACAAACAGATTCCGATCTATAGTCATAAATTAGAGTGGAACCTCAATTATCCATCAGTTTCAGTAATAACACCATGACGAATAACAGTACAGACAGCTAACAGGAACTCCTTCCAATACCACCAAATATAAGCAGTAAATAAGGAAAGTCTCAATTCCACCCCCCCCCAATAGCGCAAAATAAAAATAAAGTTTAGAATTAAAATTTGCTCACACTACAACTTCTCACCTTATTTACTATTATTGTGTACAGTAAAAATATGATATTTAAAAATTCAAAATAACAACCATATGCTAAACTATTATATGATAACCATATGATAACCTTTTATTTTCAACACAATTTAAAATAAAATGTGGCGCATATTTTACTTATTAGAGTAACCAAAATGTATGTATAAAAATTCACTATACAGTACTAAGACAATTATTTGTTATTGCCAAGTACTGTGTAATTAAAGTAACAGTATCTCACAGTAAACAGTAACAGTAAACATACAGTATCTCAATGTATCACTAAGCATCTGAATATATATGAGAATGATTAGATTAACCCCTTGAGGACCAGCACACGAAGATTGAAGTGCAGCTACGGGACCGAATCCCTTGAAATGGAACACCGCAACCGGTCCATGAATTTACAGCAGTTAGGCTTACTTTTACAAACAAATTCGTATAAAATCAGCATTTTAATATAATGACCTCAATTTTTGAAGTTACATACGTAATATACTAATTATTAATATGTATTAATATAAAGAATATCACATTAATAAAAAATAATGAAACATACGGAGTACTAAAATTACAGCTATAAGCATGAAAACAAATACTATACACATAAAAACAAAATTACAAATATGAAATGAAAATTAAGCAATAATTATCTGTAGGTAATTAAATTCCAATTTAATAATTCTGCTGTGTGTGGAATAACGACAATGGCGGCTTTTTTCGCCGAGCAAGTAAGATGCCTCATACATTGGGAAAGCTGATATCTTTCCCCTTCTGTAACAATGCTGTAAATTTACTTTTTAAATAACTAAGAAAGTCTATGTTATGTTAAGTTATGTTAAGTTTTAAAATAAATATAAAAAAGACAACTAGTATGAGTTTTTCCATCACGGAAGTTTGGTGATGTTACCCCCGCTATAGTCAGCTAGATGCGTTTTCCCACATTCTCCTAACAAAAAAAAGGGGGAGAAAACATTGAACTGGATTCATTTCCCCACATTCTAATAACTAATAATGCAAAGAATAAAAACGAAGACAACAAAAAAACAAAATTCCTAATGAAATAAACAAACAGCTGGTATCCATTTAATTTAAAGAGCTGTGATACATACCATCAGTACTCTAAAAGGGAAAAAAATATTATTTTAGTTAAATAGGTTAGGTTGCAAATGAAAATTGCTAAATAGAATTTCATTTTCTTAGATTATGAAATCAGGCTTTGGATAACTGTCGCAGCTACATAAACTGCACTAAAAATGTACAGTTTTAATGCGTCTAAACTACAGCAAACTCTTTCCCTGGAAATCCCATTTCTAGATGACCACGCCTGAAAATTACCAGTATTTCTGAGAACATAAATAAACATTAGCAGTGATAATTATCACAGCATTCTCTCATCTCTGACCAACTGAGACCATCAAATATATAATATGGAGATCCCTAAAATGTCTAATTTCAACATCAAGGTAAAGTATTTTATGCACTACTTTAACCAATTACATATCTGTTCTTATTGTACCAGAAAAATTATTTTAATGGGGAAAAAATTAACCTTTAAGTCAATATCATTTGTTTACTTGTTTGTTAATTAAATAAACAAGCACACAAATAATATTGACAATCATAACAAATCATATTTAATTAGAATACTGCAAAACATATAAATGCTATCTATTCAGTTTTGTGTAATTTATCATGTAAACTTGCAATAAAAAGGCCTTTTTAAACCTCCAAACAGTCTATGCTAACTTTTTATTTTCCATCTGAGAATTTCAAAATAAGTCAAGGTTGTAATAGTGCTAAAAATAGTTCAATTTTGTTTTCTGTGTCACTGGAACAGGTAACATTATTTTTAACATATACAGTCAAAAGTCGTTAATTCGGACACCCATAATCCAGACCTCAAGGCTACAAACTTTCTGCGCATGCGCCGTATTGACGCATGCGCATAGGCATTTACGTGTGCGCGTAAGATCTTTACGGCTGCGAATATGCGCGTGCGAGAATTTACGCATGTGCATTTAATGTATAATGGACGGTATAAGCTAAGCTAAAATTATCTAAATCAGTTAATGTTGCAGATTGCGTTGTTCCTTAATCTTCGAATTGGATCCGGCTTATTATTTTTTGCAGACTGTTAGAGCAATTTTATAAAAGTAAGCTTGAACTTTCAATTATATAAAATAGAATTTACGATATATATTTGCTAATATGTAAAGGATCTAAAGCGAAAGTATGTTTTGAAATCCGAAATCTGTTTATCAATTTCACGCTGCTCAGCAGGGGGAATGCCCGGGCGCGCAATGAATTGGAAGTTGATCTGTCAGCACTATCCTTATCTTCAGGGCAGATGTTTTTATTTTATTTGGCTTATAATTCTTTACTAAATGTAGTATTTCATCTCGATGTACTCCGTCTTTGATATGATTTAAAATAAGTTCCTCGTCATTATAATTCGCTTTCGATAGTGAAGAAAGTAACAGAGGTTATTGAAAACGAAAACATTTCGATTGACAAATTAGTCGGTATTCTCAACACAGCAATTATAGGACTTGAACAGCGGATCTTTGTAACTAAACAAGAAATTATGTCTGTTTAATAGAATTAAAGAGAAAGTATTATCACATAAAAACGAAGCAACTTAAACAACTTACATTGAAAGAGAAATGTTTAATTAAGTAAACAAATAAATATTAAGCTTTGTCTTTTTGTAAATTTTGATACTCTTTAGATCATAATTGTTCTTTATTTCATAAATTATGGTTTCATATTTTTAATTTTGTAATTTCTGCATGCCATCTTGCCAGATTTAAACTGATGATCTATAATCCGGAAAAATCGATAATCCGGAATCGCCGAAGTCCCGACGAGTCCGGATTAACAACTTTTGACTGTACTTTTTTTTTTTTAAACTTCATGTATTTTAATGCCTTAACATTAACAGAATTAAATATTAAAAGATCTATAAATGCAAAAAGAAAGTTTTAAATTTAGAAGCATAACCACAAATTAAAGAAGATATTGCTACCAATCTATCTCCAAAGGGATGCATAAATTCATGGCATGAGTATTTTAACCTAGTTGCTCCATCATATCATATATGGTATGATGCTTCAGTTTCAATTACAGTGGCCCCTGTATCAAATGAGATATGGAAGTGAAGTATAACTGGTGGCCTTCTGTAAAATATTTGATATGCTGAAACACAACATTTTATTTCAAATTTTATATTTGCATAAATTAAGTCAAAATGCTGGAAAATCTCGAGTGTTAGCCTTATTGCTATGAATATTAGTTAGTTATTATTTTATTGTAGGAATATAAAACTTGCTATGCTTAGTATGCAAATTCAAAATTTAGACACATATCATGCAGGGCAAGTAGCTTAAAATTTTATATGTAAACATATCAATAGGATATATTAGGTATTGCTGTCAAAATTCTAAAAATTTCTTCTTCATTACTGCATGGAAATATTAAAACATGTAATTATCATAACTAATATTGTCAATAAATTTATTTTGAATTTTTGTTTAATTGTAAATATTAGAATTTGATTGCTTATATTACAAGAAACATGATTTAAATAACATCTGCAAGAACCCAAATGTTTCGATAAAAAGCAGAATTTTACAAGAATTATTCTTGGCTTAACTGAAAAAGCTTAATTGAAAAATATGCATTCAGGCACACAGTGACGTTCAGCACTCGAAAATTACAGGTCCAAAGAGAAACTTCATTTTTTTTTTACATCGGGAGTGAAGAGATTAATAAGTTCTGAGCATGAGTATAATTGCTAAACACAAATTATAAAATTTTATTTAACATTTTTTTCACACAAATGATTTCTTTCCCACATTTGAAATAAAGTATTTTAGAAAATAATGTATGAAATAATTTCTTATTTATTTACTTTTGCTGGATATTAGTTAGTTAATAATTAATTTGTAATTTTATTAATAAATCATCATATTACACTCAAGTAATATGAAGACTTTCACTGACAGATTCCAAAAGTCTCAGAAAAGGAATTCCTTTATGAAATCAATAACTATCATCACTGACTGTAAGTTTCTCTAATATGGCCACCCTCCACAATACACCAAAACTGTCTAAAACCATAAATTACCACATTACAGGAAGTTCACTATAGTTCAAATTGACTCACGTAAGCTATTATTTGAAAGACCAAGCCATGATGATACAAGAATTTCTCATGGGTAATAAATTTCATTTGAAAGTTAAGCTTTAAAAAATAAATAAAAATTAAAAAAAGTAACAGGAAAGAAATTCTGAAAGGATTCATATTTTAATGTTGTACTAGAGGGTTTCTTAAGTTTTTTTTTTTTTTTTTTTTTTTTTTTTTTTTTTTTTTAATGTTCTTGCTGAGCTTGCAATCTATGGTCTGCTCTTAGACTCACTCTTATCTACACATCTTTTTTTTGTCGTTTAAACTTTATTATTAAACACTGTTTTTTTCACACTTACACCACATAAAATTTAATAGCAGAATCACAAAATATTTAAAAACAGAATTTGGGATAGAATGTGAAGTGCTATCATATATTTTTTTATCTAAGCTATTTTATTTATTGCCATGTATTATTTAAAAAAATAATACATGGCGATAACACTTCATGGCAATATCCTATTATTTGAAAGTAATATGGATCATCCCTTTCAAAAAAAAAAAAAAAAAAAAAAAAAAAGAGAGAGAGAGAGAGAGAATCAAGACTAATAACAATTCTTGGGAAACTTTTATAAAGATTGTTATATACATAATTAAAAACATAATTCACTAAGATTTTTTGGCTATATGATAAGGGCTTTTACACATTACATTAAAAATATAATCTGAAAGACCACTTCAGTTTAAGACCATCTCAGTTCACTTCTAACGTAAGCTGAAATCATTTATCACTATATACAGTAATAAAGATTACACTCCACTACATTTCACATAAATACCAATGAGCCAATAAATTATAAAAGCTTTCAACTTTTACGGTAAAATTATGTTTCCAAATGCTTTTTGTTAAACAGAAATATAAAACCACTTAGTTCTTATGATTAAAATTTTGTTTAATATTGATGCTTTTTACAGGTACCTCAATACTTTAAATATTATCTGAAAAACAGTTTTGCTATCTGGGAAAATAAATATAAAATTCTTTTTCATTGAAATACTCTTATTTGCTTTAAAAAATATCAATAAAATATATTAATATGCAAAACACACTTCTGCTTTGAGATTTACAAACGCCTAAAATAATTACTAAATAAAGCACTACTGATGCTGCTACTTGTTGTATAATGCATTTCAGTCTCTCTCAGTTTCAAGAGATTGATTAAGTCCATGTCTAATGTACAGTTCCTAATATATCTTTTCAATTTTGTAAAACATATTAACAAATTATGAATGTATATAAACCCAACAAAGTAATTTTCCATTAAAATCTTCTACTTGAAATGGCAGTTTATTCTTATGCAAGAAATCTCATATGATCACTGTGGATTACACATTTTATTTCCATAACTGCATATAAAAATTAATATTCATTATACAGTCTTGGTTACCTGGAGGCAAGGGACTGCTGGGTCGACCAAATGATATTTGTGATTCAACAGGACTTAAAGGAGCATCTCCAACTGGAAAAACTGCATAGTGTGGTTCCCCACCATACATAAAAAAGGCTCTACTTGCCCATTCAGCAATCTAAGGGGCAAATTGTTTAATAAGAAAAAATGAATATTCATAAATAATACATAACATATATACTAGAAAAAGCAAACAATATTTAGTGACACAATGCTATTTTGCAATGGGCTGAAATTTGAAAATGATCTCAAATCTTCCAGATGATTGATTCTTGGAATACAAATGTAAAATTGAAAATGACATCATATATGCAGAATCTTGGTTTGCATGTATCTATTCATATACAAGTTCCAATCATTTACATTATACTTTATTAGTTAAATTCTGCATTTCACTTCAGTCAGTGATTTCCCACACCATTAAAATAGTTAATTAAAAAAGATAAGCATTCTTTTAATCAGTATAAGCTAACTAAAGAGCCTAAAAAAAATGGATGAAATTTAATACTTCAAAAACGCAACCAGAATTCAGTAAATTCTGAGAATCATTTTAACGCAGCAAGAAGCTTCACACTATGGATTTACAATGTGCAAATTGTTTAATGTGTAAGTCAACATGCTGATTGCAGATTAAAAGTAAAGCCTATTGAAGAAATGATTAAAGCAATCATTAATCAAAGTGAAACATAAATACTTTGAGGACTCTATTCCAAAATGCAAATTGCAAATTTCCTGAAATACTTAGACAGTAGTTCAATAATATAATGAAATTTTTTGCACCAACTAGAATTAAACTGCAGCAATCTGTAAGACAATGCATTAAAAATGTAAATTGTTCTGCTCATTTAGATATATACAATATTAAAAAAAGTATGTGGTAAATTAAAGCACATAGACAGTTAAAAATATGTAAATATAGTAGACTCATGATTAATTCGGGTAATACTGTGAATGAGATCCACAGCTAACTCAAAATCATGGTTAATAAGATAGCAGTCAAAAAAAAAAACATGAAAAAAGAGAATAATGCACATCATAATTAACTTTAAAATACTATTCAACAATTTAGATGTATTAAATAGTTTCAGTTAGAGAATTGTTTCATTTGATTATTTAAAGCAAATCAGCATTCAAAACAAGATGAACACATTTATGTTGCTCTTGCATTTCGAAATGAAGTTTAACAGTTGAATACCTATTTCATTTTAGAATTTACCAATTTATTTTCAATGGATGCTTTAGCCATGTTTATATTACTTCAGATTATGTGCAATTAAATTATGTACTATTGTAGATAAAAGCAATTTCTAAACAGTATAGCATCATCCGCTACCATTGCTTTTATTCTACATACTTTTCTTAAAATTTATTATTATTCCCAGAAGAAACTGTGCCTTATTCTGATGGTTTGTGACAGCAATTTTTCCATCATTCCATTATAAAAAAAATCTGATGTGTACACCAACGACTTCCTTATATTGGAATATTAAATTATACGCATTTTTTCTTGCATTTCATTTAAACTTATTGGATTGAATTAAATCTACTCGCCGACAGCGCATAAACCACATAGAAGAAATGCATTCTTTAAAATTCACTCTAGTATTTGTTTACCATAGCGACACTTGCGCACTAATTCACTTAACAGTATTAATAATTATATAAAGTTCACTTATAGAATAATTATATACGAAAAACTAAGTTAACTGTTATATATCCAACTTATATAACAGTTAACGTATATTTCGTTCATATTATAACTCATAATGCCCAAATTATATCATTTAAAGAATAGAATTATCTAATCGGTTGCACATTTCTATTCAATACTATAATAAACCTAGAATGATGCATAAAAGAATAAGCAAAAAACAAAAAAAACAGTTTTTCACAGACGTTGAGTATTTCTCATTTAATTTTCAGTTCTCACTTCGCGAGGGCAAAAATACATAAAAACTCAAAATATCTACATTAAAAATTACGAAGTAAATCTCAAACACTTATTTCCTCGAAAAAATTCCAGAAAGAATTAAGCATGATTTAATTGGCAATAATAAATGAATGCGTTATCTTTTTTGTTGTGAAGCTAAGTTTCTCTAGATTGGCAACAAATCCACTAGTCTCCTGTTTCAAATGTAAACATACATGGCCGCCATAATAGTAAAAGCTTTTCTGATGTGTCATCACTAATATTAGATCTAAATTTAGTCCTCATTTTCGCAACATTACTGAAAATTCTCTTGCACTCTGCATTACTATGGGGAACTGTCAAGATGGCCAACATACGTCTAGACAGTTCACTATATTTTAAAATTCCATCAGCACCTTTCAGTTTTCCAATTAAACTCCACTGGGTGTCATTCCTAGCTGATTTTATAACTTCATCCAGTTTTTTAATTGTAAACAACAAAATTGCAACTGCAATGTGCAATTTATTGCAGTTGTTGCACTTTGTTGTTTTCAACAAATTGCACATTGCAATGTGCAATTGAAATTAGTGGTAACATCAATATCATCATCTTCCATGACTAAATGAAGTAACACAGAAAATCTGTTAAAAAAATACCTTATATCAGAAAAATGCATTTTGCTAGAGCAAAACATCAGCAACTTTAGCATGCAAATACTTCATCGTTGACTGGAAATTTTGTAGTATGTAATCACATACTCGACAGAAGTAACTTCTAACATGAAGATAAACTTATTTTTGTCTCTGAAAGTTCTTCCACTACTTTTGTACTTGCAGCTCCTATTACCAAATCTTCACCTTTCATCTGATTTTCTATTTCACCATAAATCCATCATATATAGAATTCCAAGACAAAAACACAGACTGGTTTTACAAACTTTAAAATGTCTTTAAACAGATCATAAATCATTGATAACAAACATGAATTAATGGAATTCTGCATGTAGAATTGTGTTAAGAACATCGAATGATAGCAAATTGGAGCGTATGAAAAAACAAAGAGCTTTGTTACAGTCTAAAGGCAAAAACACAAATATTTGTTCTTCACAAGATAAACTTAATAAAAAAAAGTGTCTCCTGTTGAGCAATCTTTTTATTTTGAGAGAAATTTATATCAGCTTTACGCTTATATTTTGCAGTATTATTTGAGAACTGCCAGCTGAATTGCTGAATGTCAGATTTACTTTATTTTTCTCACCTATTTTTAACAATGGAAG